GGGTAGACAATTTAAACTGGGTTGGCTGAGGAAGATACTGATGACAAGGTGAAATTTAATGGGCAGCAGGGAGAACAGGGAAAGGTTAGGTTAGTAACAGAGAACAGACTGACCCAAAGGGACTGTGCGTGTGGGGTGAGAAGAGAGACTGAGAATTGCACGACCAAACTTCAGAATTGCAGTGAGGGTGGGAGCTGCATGAAGCTGGAGGTGACAGTGAGTTGGGTTTGGGACAAGTTGATTAAGGGCTTTCCCAAGCAGCCCTTGGGAAGAAAAGTACTAAGAGGTAAGAGAGAAGAACGGATAATAGAAAATACACTACAGAGTAACCACAGGAGTCTGTGAAAGGGGCTTTTGGTCACTGAGTGCTGGTTCAGTCTAAGAGACCTCAGGAAAATCAGCACTTCAATCTGAATTCATGTTTCTTCAAATCTTGAACTGAGAAGCCAATGTTTTTCTCGAGGGGTAATACGATGAATGTAACGGTCTCTGTCGGTGTTCCGTCACCCTCTCTGAGAAACAAGGACTTTCCTGATATTTCCCCCTTCTCACACCCCCCTGTACGTGCCTCTGCCCCTCTGGGCTCCACCTGAACAGCTTCACGCTCCCCTCCCTTCATGCCCACGGCCCTCTCATGTCAACTCCCGGCTGGCCCTGCAGTGCTTATGAACACCTCCCAATATACAGGGTGAGGCCATCTTGTTCTATGGGAAAATTATTTTTGTCTGAACAGGCAACAGGGAGACTTCTTTTCCTCTTCATTTTTATAGCAAATCACAAATATCATTATGCACTTTTTACAGAGTGTTATGGATTGTAGCTATGGGGAGCTGATAAATTATTGGTTGATTGATTCAATTTTAAGAACTATTTTCTGAGGCTAAAATCACTTCAGGGCTGGAATTGGGTTGGACATTAAGAAATGAATTTGAAAATCAAACACACAATTCTTGATCTTCTAGAGCCCACAACCTAGGAGGGAAAGCAGACATTTAAAAATTACTATTTCATAAGTGACAAGTTTTGTAATGGATGTATAGGAGGCTAGAGAAATATTTTGGCCTAAATAATCTTAAAAATCACAGATAATATAATTAATTATACTCAAGCATTTATGGGCTAGATAGTAAAACATGTTTTATTAATTTGACAGAATTTTAAGCTATATTATTAGCACGATATTGTAAACTAAGTTGGTGAACACTCATAGGTCAATTTAAAAGATTACATTTAATTTTAAATCTCTATTTTACAATATTAGCAACTGATCTAGCAATGTATAATCTTGATAACAGTCTCTGGACATTTTTTAATAACTAATTTGCATTTACCATAGCAACTTATTAAAAGCTAGAGGGGGTGTTTCAAAACACTTTCCAAAAGGATTGAACTATCAATAGCTTATCTTAAATATCAAATAAGAAGGGGTATCAGAATGAAGATATACATTATAAACCCAGTGCATATGTTATTTTTTTAAAATTCCATGTTAAAGTAGTTCAATTGCAATTCCAAGTTAAAGTAGTTCATTTGTCATAAGTCCAAAAGAAAGTTGTAATATGTAACATCCAGTAGTATACTTATGGTTATATATTGTATGCTTATTATCTAGTTAGTTTTATATTTCATATAATAAAAAATGGAATCAACAAGAAATAAAAAGATGGAAAGAGAAGAAACAGAATGTAGCATTTATTCATCACAAAAGGACTGTTTCTTAATTTGAGTTTGTCAAATATTTTTCCCTCTTGAAAAGTGAATGGGATATCAAAGCTGGTTCCTTAAGGAAATGCACATGAGTGATATAGAAGTTAAAACTGAGGCTTTTAAAAGGACATACCGATGCTTTTAAAATTTCTGTTTATACTGCACAGAGAACAAAATCCCTTATTTCTTAGATACCTCTCTATCGTCAGATATATGTCTTAGGTATCACTAAATCTAGTATCTGATTTCATTTGGTGACAAATTATCAGGTACTCATTTGAAAAGGAGAATCAAACTGCTATGCTTTTAAAAAGCCAATGAAAATATGTCCCTTTTTTCTGAGCAAACTTCTTTTATTTATTTATTTTTTATTATTTTGAGACAGACTCTCACTTTGTTGCCATGGGTTTGAGTGCCATGGTGGCATCATAGCTCACAACAACCTCAAATTCTTAGGATTGAGAGATCCTCATGCCTCAGTTTCCCAAGTGGCTAGGACTATAATCATCCACCACAATGTCCAGCTATTTTTCTTTCTCTTTTTTTTTTTTTTTGTAGTTTTTGGCTGGGGCTGGGTTTGAGCCTGCCACCTACAGCATATGGGGCTGGGGCCTTACTCCTTTGAGCCATAGGTGCTGCCCTCTTTTTATTTTTTTCTATTTTAAGTAGAGACAGGTTCTCATTCTTGTTCAGGCTGGTCTCAACCTTCTGAGCTCAAGTGATGACCTACCTCAGCCTCCCAAAGTGCTAGGATTACAGGCATGAGCCACTGATCCTGGCCTAGCAAACCTCTTTTAAGATCATTTCCTTTAGAAAAATATTTTACTACTTTTAGAACAATAAAATAAAGGAAGAGAACATATCACTCATGATACCAAATAAGGCCTCCACTGTTGCCTCAAATTCGTGGCAGTTTCCGGTAGGTAAAGGATTTTCTATTCTACATCATCTTCCCCAAGCTTTATTTTCTGGAGTTGGAGTAAGTGCATATCTTAGTGAAAGTGTAAATCAATCACTAAGTACTTTAAGTGTGGGTGTGCATGTGCAAAATGTCTTAAATAGGCAATACGTTTTGAAGGGCGAAGGGATTTGCCTCAATTAGGCATTGCGTAATGCTTTGGTGTAAGCTTCTAAGAATTTGCAAACTTGGCTGCATATTTAAATACCTTTTTATCTCCTTCCTCTCTAACCCTATAGATCTTCATAAACAATGAATGGCATGATTCAGTGAGTGGCAAGAAATTTCCTGTCCTTAATCCTGCAACAGAAGAAACAATCTGCCATGTAGAAGAAGGAGATAAGGTGAGTTTTTAAACACTTCTTCTATTTTTATGCCGAATTTCTTGGTTTCTTGCCATTCTGAGCTTGTGAACCCCATTGCAAATTCAAGATGTATCACAAAGATGTGGCTTCTGGGCAGTCTGGGGAAATTTTCTAAGTTGTTCTTGGTACATAAAGACACTCACGAGTTATGTCATTAGGACAATGAGCCTGTGCTTCTGCATGTTATGGGGCGGGGGGTCCATATTATTTTTTCTTGTTTGATTTTCAATTGAAATGGTATCTAGATTTATTATACAGATTACCTAAAAGGGATTAATCATACATCTAAAAACGAGAAAAATTCTTTTTTCACATACCATTGTTCAAGTTGCTATATGAAACTTAAAGTTAACACAGGACTTATAGAACAATATGTTACCAAGTTATTTCATTAAAAAATAACTGAATTTCTGAGGGCAACATAGTGAGACTCTGTCTCAATAATAAATCACTGAATTAATATTTAACAATACCATTAAATTAGAGTTAAAAATGACTTAAATTGAATTAAAAAATTAAAATATTTTTACTCCCAAGCTAATAATAGTAACAACAGCAACACCAAACTTTTATTGAGTGATAAATGTTTTCAAATTCTAGATGCTGTTCTAATACTTGAAACAGCCTTATGGGGAAGGCACTATTTTTAGTCATTTTTAGAAATAATGATGCAATGGCAGAATTGAAAGGCTGAGTCATTTATCCAGGGTCACATCACTAATGGGTAATAAAATGTGCATTCAAATGTGACTGGCTATGGGTTGGAAGGCCAACATTTGAATGCACATTATTATTATTTAATTTATATTTATTTTTTATCATTTTAAAAATGAGATGGGTAATATTAAATAACCTCTGGGGGAAGGGAAGTGAAAGCCTTCAGAATTTATACCTGAGCACTGACGTAAATAACTATGAGTTACTAGGAGTAATCTAAAATATTTTTTCTTCTCTTTAGCTGTTTAGATATCACCAATTTTTAAATTTCTGTAACATGAGAGGTAAAATATTGCTGTGGGGAAAGACCTTAGGCATATAGTAAAGTCTCAGTCTTTACAGGGTTTCATACTTTCTAAAACCTTTTCTGGCCTCCCAGGTACACATAGAATTATCCTCATCTGTGCTATGTTGCAACATTGTATTTGGCTGTGTTATAACCCTTGCATGTCATACAGGTAGTGGTTACTTTGAGACAATATTCTTCTTGTAGAGATCAGCAGGATATCTCATATTTATATCCTTGTTTTGGTACACTATCGGTGATAACATCGCTGAAAACACACTTCTCCTCTGTCAAGTTTTTTTTTTTTTTTTTTTTTTTGAGACAGAGCCTCAAGCTATTGCCCTGTGTAGAGTGCTGTGCTATCACAGC